CTGCTGGGCAGATGAGCTGCCATTTTGTCTACAGCACCCTCCTTGTGCATGAGACTTCAGCTTTCTCTACTCCTTCATTCAGCTGTCATTTCATCTGCTTCTAGCTTTCCAGAAACTTGTTGACATCTGTTGTCAATTAATTGCCTTCTTTTTCTTATTTGTTGGTAGATTGAACCTTTGTCATTCATACCTCATTTTTATGGGGTTTCAGGAGACAGATTTTTTCATTTAGTGGAGGCTAATTAGAGCAAAACTGTCTTTGCTGTTTATCTACCAACATTGTTTCATATTGAATCTAATCACATTTTTTCATAATGGACAAATATTGGATATTATTTTGTATAGTCAAGGTTAAACTTGCAGACAAAACTCACAGCTCGAGAAGAGTTTTGACTTTAGCCGAATTTTTACAGTGATTTTTAGAAATTCACTTTGATCCCTTTTTTCTCTGTAATTCGTCTTTCTCAGATTCCTATCTAAAGATCTCAAACCACAAATGAAAAGTGAACTAGACACATAAAAATTCAGCCACTTAGAAGAAAAAAATGCTAAGAAATAGAGAACTGCTTTCCTAGTATATTCATAGCATTTTTAGCTTGTTTATAACAGCCATACCTAGACAAGTCAACCAACTAGGTATGTCGTTTCTAAGTAATATAGTCATTATAACTCTGTAATTTTGTTTAAAGTGCAAAGAAATGCCTCATAAATAAGTTGTAAGTAATTGTAAATGGATTTGCATTATTTTACTTTAGAGCTTCAGACTAATCATAAGAGATGCTTTGCCTTTACTCCCAAAGGTAAGCCACATCTTCAGCCATTGCAAAAACCTCTTTGAATATCTAAGGATGCAATGCTTATTTCAGATATATTCTGAAAAATTTACTTTTGAACCTCAAAACACCTCACAACCGTATGTGTAGCAACTGTGACTCTTTCAAGTCTCCTAAATCATCTTTGAATCAGATTTCTGCCTGCTGTTAAAGTCTGGCTCCTACTAATATTGGCCTTCTGTGTATCTCTCAAACTATGATTTACTTTCTTGTTTTGATAGAAGACGTTAGGGATATGGGATTGGGGATTGCTGATGGAGCTGTGACTGGGAGAATGCTCAACCTTATCCTGGAATGTATACTTTATAATGTATTTGTTGGGAAACAAATTAGATTGTTTTTATGATTTTCCATGCAGAGTTGTATACTAGCATTTTTTCCTTTTATCATTAAGTAAAGGACATCTTTATCTCATATGTTTTGCCCTAAAGTCAGATTTTTTTCTGAAATATATGAAAATCTTTGGTTTTCAGCACTTTGTGATGTATCTAGGGGTTTTGTTTTAGCATTTTTTGGTGATCTATAGGCTTCTTAGATCTGTGATTTGTTGTATTTCATTAATGTTGGAAAATTTTTCGTCTTTATCATGTCAGATATTTCTCCTGCCTTTTTTCCTCCTCTTTTGCCAATTACACATAGACTGTTTGATATTAGTTCTGCAACTCTTAAGTTTTTTTTGTTCTTTTTTTCACTTGTTTCTTGGTGTATTCAGTTTGGGTAATTTCTGTCTTCAAGTTCACTGATTCTTCTGTGTCCAGTGTGCTAAGTCTGTCCAAGGAACTCTTTATCTCTGATAAATAATTTTTTATTTCTAGCATTTGACCCTTTCATGATTTCCACCGCTCTCCTCAAATTGTGAATCTTTTTTTGCATGCTGTCCACCTTTTAAACTAGATCCTTTAACATATTAATCATAGTTAAATCTTTTAAGTTTTCTGTCAGGTAATTCCAGCTACATCATCTTTGAGTATAGTTTTGTTGATCACTTTATCTCTTGATGATGAATTCCATTTTTTTTCTGGTTTTCTGTATGTCTCATTTTTTATTGAATGCCACATATTGTGTGTAAAGGAACAGAGGAGACTAAAGTAAATGGTATTTACACCCAGAAATGAGGACATCTCTTTTTCTTTCAGGTTATTATTATGAGTCATTGCATCAATTTAGTCAGGAGTGGAGCTGGGTTTGGGTTTTGTTGTTGCCTTCAGTGCACCACAGTCTTCAGATACTTCCAGCAATTGACTGCTATTACTTTATGCTTCTTAGAGTAGTGCCTGAAGTGCAAGATACTTATTTTACTTGAGTCCTTTTATTTTGAACCCTTCTGTGCTATGATAGATCCCCATTCTATTCAGAATCCTTAATATGGTCAGCAAGGCTCTACATGATCTGGTAAACAGCCAGATAGTATATCATTTAGGATTTTGTAGGCCACATAATCTCTGTCACAACTATTTAATTCTGCTGTTGTAAAATGAAAACAGCCATAGATAGCAAGTAAACAAATGAGCAAGGCTGTATTTTCCAGTAAAACTTTAATGACGAAACAGGCAGTGGGCTAGATTTGGCCCCTGGGCCATCGTTTGCCTACCTGTTTACCCTTTGTTTAGAGTCTTTCTCTTGCCCTACTCCCTGGCCCTGATCTATGCTCCATTGTAATGTGAGCTCCACAAGGGCAAGGATGTTTTCCTATTTTGTTCGTGGACTTCCAAAATGCCTGCAACAACACCTGAAACCTAGACCCTCAACTTATTACAAGAATAGATAAGTGAATTATGTTTTGAGTGTTTTTCATAAGCCGCATATAGCTGAGTTTTTACAATTCAGTCTACTGATCTTAACAGATATGTTTAATTAGGTTGCATTCATTGTTATTTCTAGTATATTTGGAATTATCCCAGTCAGGTTTTTGTTTTGCATTTCTTTCCTTTATCCCCTCCTTTCTTGCTACCTAGGTTTAATTAAATTTCCCTCATTTCTCCTTAGGTTCTTTTAATTTAGAAACTGCACATTCTGTTGAACTTCTTTTAGTACTGATCCCTAAATACTGAGCATGTATATTTGTCTTAGCAACATTTAAGTGTATTCTTCTTAAATACCTTCAAGACCTTAGAATACTTCACCTCTGATCTTTGCACTTCAGTGTCTTGTTATTCTTTTCCAGTATTTTATTTTCACTTTGTTTTAAACAATGTCTGCTGCTCCCCTGCCCTGCCATAGTCTTTTCCTTTGTTTTATTGTCAGAGCTTTTTTTTTTTTTCCAGATTTACTCATCTTATTCCATTCTTTTGTATTTAATTTCCTTCTTATCAAAACATATCTTTAGTAGTTATTTCAGCAGCTATCTGTGATTGTTGAATTTCCCCAGACTTTGTTCTGGAAATACCTTTATTCATCTGTATTCTTGGATAATTTAATTAGGTGAACAAATTATTTTATCTTCTAAAATTTGTTACTTCCTTTTTTCTCTTCAATTTTGGAACATTTTCAGCCTGTATCTCTTCACATCTTGCCTCTTGTCTATCCTCTCTATTGTCTCCTTCTAAAATTCTTTTCTCCCTGTCTTTCCCCACCCCACCCCCTACACCCCCACCCCCACCCCCAGCGGAGACGGAGTCTCAGTCTGTCATCCAGGCTGGAGTGCAGTGGCATGATCTCGGCTTACCGCAACCTCCACCTCCCGGGTTCAAGCAATTCTCCTGCCTCAGCCTCCCGAGTAGCTGGGACTACAGGTGCCCGCCACCACGCCCTGCTCATTTTTGTGTATGTTTTTAATAGAGACGGAGTTTCACTATGTTAGCCAGGATGGTCTCCTGATCTTATGATCCACCCTCCTCAGCCTCCCCAAAGTGCTGGGATTACAGGTGTGAGCCACCGCGCCCAGCCTGGAATTTTTTTCTTAGATGTATGTGAGGCCTTTCAACTCTTCTCTCATGTTTTCTGTCACATTGTCTGTGCATTCTGGGTAATATTCTTAGGTCTATCTGCCAGGTCACCAGCTGTCTTTGTATGTAATCTGTCTGGCTTTTTCATTTCAATGACTTTTATTTCTAGAGGTTGTTTAAAGTGCTTTTCCAAATCTGCCTTTTTTTTCCTCAAGATAGAATCATCCCATGTTGTTTCTTTATAAAAAGTAGATTCCAGTATCTTCACTTCCAGTCCAGTATCCTAAAGGATGAGATTCATGTCCAGGGATAGATCACAAAAACATATACCAGTATTTGTAGTTTATTATGGTTTCCCAAGTAGTTCATTCATGCTGCGGGATTGATTGCTTATTTTGTTTCTCTAAAGATCTTGGAAAATATTTTCACAGAATATAATCTGAATATACAAAAATATAAGTGGCAATTGGGATAATTTAATGTTAACATTCATGTGGAGTAAAATCAATCTTCCTGTTTTATTTCTTGCATACATCAAAATGGATTCAACCCATTCTACATTCCCTGCTAAAATATCTATAACATTTTCATATTAGAATGCTTCATTCATAGACCAAACATGACACTCTGAAGTAAGAGAGCTTGTCCTTTCCGAGGGTAGATGTAAATTAGATACAGTAAGTAGATTAATTAAAAATACTAAAACCTTTAGAGAAGTTGTAGCCTAAAAATGCTGTCTTCATTCATAAAGTGAATTTCTCCAAATCCTAAAAAAAAATTTGAAAAGTAGCATTTATTTAAATAACTAAAACAATTTTTAAGTAAAAATTTTTTGGAATTTGGCCAGGCACTGTGGCACAAGCCTGTAATCCCAGCACTTTGGGAGGTCAAGGCAGGCGGATCACCTGGGGTCAAGAGTTCGAGACCAGCCTGACCAACATGGTGAAACCTCATCTCTTTAAAAATACAAAATTAGCCACACGTGGTGGCAGGCACCCATAATCCCAGCTACTTGGGAGGCTGAGGCAGGAGAATTGCTTGAACCCATGAGGCAGAGGTTGCAGTGAGCTGATTGTGCCATTACACTCCAGCCTGGGCAACAAGAGTGAAACTCCGTGTCAAAAAAAAAAAAAACTTGAAATTTTAAATGCCTAAACATACCATATTTTGTTTTAATGTAGCTTTGGGATTTTTGACAAATTCTTGTTTGTTTTTCCAAGTCTGCTTAAAGGTTAATTGATTAAAGTGGGTAGGTCCTCATGTTTACTGATATGTGTTGCAGCTCTATTGGTACACCAGAAGGCCAGAATGGAACGACTTCAAAGAGAACTTGAGATTCAAAAGAAAAAGCTGGATAAATTAAAATCTGAGGTTAATGAAATGGAAAATAATCTAACTCGAAGGCGCCTGAAAAGATCAAATTCTATATCCCAAATACCTTCCGTAAGTCTTTATGTAACTGTTGTGATCTCTCTGCTTGAACGTGAGAGTAGGCCATCTAACATAAGTATAATATCTCGATCTAGTTTTCTTCAGATGTTCTTAACTCTTGTTTTTCTGTCCTAACTTTCCCCTGCCAAACTCCATTCTTTATTAATTAATGACTAAGAATTCAGTGCAAATCTTACTTACATAGAATTATTTTTCAGCTCGAAGAAATGCAGCAGTTGAGAAGTTGTAATAGACAACTCCAGATTGACATTGACTGCCTAACCAAAGAAATTGATCTTTTTCAAGCCCGAGGTAAAGTTCAGTGTATACGTAGCTGAAATTCATCGTATTAATTCACCAGCAGTTTTCCTGTGGCTAAAAACAGATTTATCAATCATAATCTCACTGTCTCAGAACATGTGGCTTTAGAACCAGATACAGTTTTAAGAATATATTTAAAAAGTCACCCCCATCTCAATGGCACTATCTTAACTGATAAAATAGAGAAGATAATAAAAATAAGGTTTATACACTCTTTAGACAATGGTAGTTTTTTATACTTGAGCTGTTAATGACAAGCAATGATTTATAGTAAATAATGTTTACAATTTAATTCAGTTCCATAGAGAACTAAAAGGAAATGTTATCACTTAAACCTAATTCTGAAGTTGGATAAATAATAAAAAGATATAAAATGGAAAAGACAGGAAGGGGAAGGAATCTAACCGAAAGAGAAGTCTTTAATACATTTGGGACTGTGTTCCAGAATCTGTAAAACTGGAAGATGATTATTTTTATTTTTATTATTTTTAAATGTTGATTAAGCTATTTATCTTTAAACATTCATAGAAAAATACCATAATTTAACTCTGGAGAGAAAAAGTTGGTGCTATTCTAGAAACTACAATCCTTGAACTTACTCTTTTTGTGTAAAATTTTAACCATTCTATTACATTAATGCAAGGTTTTTATATTTACTTGAGGTAAAGCTGTTTAGTCCGTATTTGATCATTTAAAATTACATTTTAAATTGTGAAATTTTAAGTTATTTTAACTTGCCACATAGAACAGGGGTCTACTTCTACTTCTGTTAATGTCTTACCAGCATTACTTTGACTTCTTTCACAATTTACCACTTACCCTGAGTAAGTGGTAAATTTATGTTTATGAGTACTACGTTATACCTAAGATAATATATTTTTTATGAGTACTACGTTATACCTAAGATAATATATGTGAAATATGTTTTGAAATCTTAGATATAATTGGAGATTAGAAGGGCAAAATAAATGAAAAGCATTTCTTATAGCATGATTTTTTTTTAGAAAGAAATACTTGTTTTAAAAGGTAAAGTTGTTTTTGAGCTATAAGCATTGATATATTTACTTTTTATGTATTTCAGGACCGCATTTTAATCCCAGTGCTATCCATAACTTTTATGACAATATTGGATTTGTAGGTCCTGTGCCACCAAAACCCAAAGGTTAGTGTATCCATTAAATGTGAAAACTGTTACTTTTGAAAAGCAAAATTTTAGAAAAATTTTCCTGTTCAGCAACCTTCCTCTCTAGAATTGCTTCAAACTCTGGCATTCTTAAATGAATTCGTTAAGAAGATGTTTGTTTATTTTCATTTACATGCTTGGGGTTGGGGAGGATGCAAAGATGTAATATTCTTAGCTTTTTAAGAGTAATATGCACGAGCTTAGGAAGCACTATACACTCCCAACCAATAATAGCAAGTCTTGGTTAAAAAAAATTACTAAGTACTAAAATTTGTATCATTTAAAACCTTAGACAAATGATAAGGAAGATACCTTGGGGAAGTTTTTTTTCCCCCCATGAATATTCAGTTTAATTTATATATAACTTTAAGTAATCAAAATACCCTAAATTCCAGATGAATAGTTTTTTACCTTCTATCATTTTACATCATTGATATTCTCAGAATATATGCACACCAAACTAAGACATGTCAAAGTATATCTGTGTGTTTTGATCCAGGCATTAAAATATGCATAGAAATGGAAACAGGTACATAAATATCACTGCTGAAGGTAAAGATATAGACATATATATAGATTAACACTTAACTGTAGTATATAATTTACTTTCAACTCTAATTAAAAGGTAAAAATTTGTTAATGGATATATAGTATTAAAAGAAGCAAACTGCAAGAGCACATAAGTGTGGGTGGGTGGAGGTTGTAAAGATACAATAGTATTTTTGTATGCAATTGAAGTTGTTATCAACTTAAAATAGAAGAGTATAACCAAATACAATCAAAGTAAATCATGATTAAATGTCATCAAATAACAAAGGAAGACAATAAGAGGAAAAGAGGAGCAAAACAGTTGTCAAATAGACAGGAAGCAACAAACTGGCAATAGTAAGTCCTCACTTATCAGTAATTACCTTAACTGTAAATGGATTAAACTCACCACTCACAAGGAGTTTGTATGAATGGATTTTAAAAACAGGATCTGGCAGCAGCCAACGGGAGGCCCCAAGAACTCCTGCTAGTGCACACAGTGGGAGGGGAGGGAGCCCATGATGTGCACACACCCTCTCCCTCGTCCACCACTGTCACCTCCTGCTGCTCCTGCTGCTGCTTGTGTGCTCGTTAGTTGCGGACTTGCCATTTCTTTTGTGAAGCAGCAGCTGAGGAGACTCCGGTGCTCCCCATGGCTGACGAAAAGCCCACAGAAGGAATCAAGACTGAGAACAAGGATCATATTAATTTGAAGGTGGCGGGACATGATGATTCTGTGGTGGTGTTTAAGATTAAGAGGCATACACCAATTAGTAAACTAATGAAAGCCTATTGTGAACGACAGGGATTGTCAATGAAGCAGATCAGATTCTGATTTGATGGCCAATCAATCAGTGGAACAGACACACCTGCACAGCTTCTTTACTCCAGAACGCTGTTCTTTAAAGACCACAATTATTACATTCTCAATTAGAAAACTGCAGTTTGGTTCCACCACATTCTGACTACTATAGTTTATTCTTTTTTTCCCCTTCCACATTCCTTTATTATACATGACGTAACTGGTATATGTGCACAAGCATATTGCTTTTTTCTTCAAACCAAACAGCCAATGGTATGTTTTGATTGACATCAAGTGGAGACAGGATGGGAAAAAATACTGATTCTGTGAAAATACCACCTTTCTCCATTAGTGGCATGTTCATTCAGCTCCTATCTTTATATTCCAGTAAGTTATTTTGCTCTTACTGTTTTAACAAAAAAAAAAAAATTCTCATATACGTTGTTCAATTGGAGGATTTTAATGTTTTTCATTTATCATTGTAAAACCAAGGACAATTTTATAACTTTTGTGTATGTAGCTGTTACATGTAGGGCAATCCGTCTTTAAGTAGGGATACTTAAAGGATTACTCTAAAAAAAAGAAAGAATCCTAGAAAGTTTTCCCTTCAAGTCAAGCTTCTTGTTTAAATAAACTGTTTGTTTAAAATGAAATAAGAAAAATAAAAACAGGATCCAATAATACACTATCTGCAAGAGACTCATTTTATATTTAAAGACACAGGCAGAAAGTGAAGGGATAGAAAAAGATTTTATATATAAACGGTAGCTCAAAGAAATCAAAAGTGGCTATATCAGAAACAATAGATTTTTAAGCCAAACTGTTGAGACAAGGATTATTATATAATGGTAAAAGGATCAATTTAACAGGAAAATATAAAAATTATAAATATATACACACCCCACATCAGACTACATTAATATGTAAAGCAGATATTGACAGATCTGAAGACAGAAATTGACAGCAATAGTAGGAGACTTCAGTACCCCCCTTACAATATTATAGAATATCCAGACAGAAACCAAATAAACAGCTGGTTTGAACAAAATGCTAAACCAAGTGGATATAGCAAACACAGAACTCTCTGCCAACAGCAAAAAAAATAAACATTCTTCCCAGGCACACACGGAACATTCTGTAGGATAGATCATATGTTAGTTCACAAAACGAGTCTAAACAAACCTAAGAAGATACGAATCATTCCAGGTATTTTTTTTTAACCACAGTGGAATGAAACTAGAAATCAGTAACAGCAAGAAAACCAGAAAATTTGTGGAAACTTAAACACACTCTTGAATAATCATTGAGTCAAGAAGGAAATCAAAAGGGAATCTTAACAGTATCTTCGGACAAAAATGAAAACAGCATACCAGCATCTATGGGACGCAACAAAAGCGGTACTGAGAGATAAGTTTATAGAGACAATACGTACGTTAAAAAAAAAAAGATCTCACTTATACCCCAGGGACTAGTAGAACAACAAGCTAAGCCTAATGTTAGCATAATGAAGAAAATAATAAGGATTACAGCAAAAAATAGAGGATTTTAAAACACAGAAAAATGTCAGTAAAACTAAGAGGTGATTTTTTAAATCAACAAGATTGACAAACCCTTAGCTAGATAAATTGAGAGAAAAAGAAGACAAAATCAGAACTGAAAATGGAGACAACAGATGCCTCAGAAATAAAAGGATCATAAGGGAATATTAGGAACAATTTTATGCCAACAGACTAGATAACCTAGAAAAAAGATATATTCCTAGAAACGTACCACCTATTAAAGCTGAATCAAGAAGAATTAGCCTGAATAGGCCAATAACAAATGAGATTGAATCAGTAATCAAAAATCTCCCAACAAACACCCAGCATGGATTTAGAAATTTAAAAAACAAAACAAAAAACAAACAAACAAAAAAAACTCCCAACAAAGAGACATCCAGAACCAGATGGCTTTATGAGTGCATTCTGTCAACATTCAAACAAGAATTAATACCAACCTTTCTTAAGCTCTCCCAAAAATGAGAAGATGGACCACTTCCAAACTCATTCTGAGACCAGCCTCACCCTGGTACCGAAACCAGACAAAGACACTGCAACTAAAGAAAACTACAGACCAATATTCCTGGCGAACATAAACACAAAAAATCCTCAGTAAAATACTGGCAAACCAAACTCAGCACATTAAAAGGACCATACACCATGACCAAGTGGGGTTTATCCCTGGAACTTAAGGATGGTTCAGCATACACAAATCAATTAATGTGATACAGCACACACATTGAAGTAAAATGAAAGGAATAACCATGTAGTCATCTTAATAGATGTATAAAAAACATTTGAAAAGGTTCAGCAATTGTTCATAATTAAAACTCTCAGGCCGGGTACAGTGGCTCATGCCTGTAATCCCAGCACCTTGGGAGGCCGAGGCAGGTGGATCACCTGAGGTCAGGAGTTTGGGACCAGCCTGACCAACATGGAGAAACCCTATCTTTACTAAAAATACAAAATTAGCCTGGCATGGCGGCCGGTGCCTGTAATCCCAGCTACTCAGGAGGCTGAGGCAGGAGAATTGCTTGAATCTGGGAGGCAGAGGTTGCGATGAGCCAGAATCACGCTATTGCACTCCAGCCTGGGCAACAGGAGCGAAACTCTTGTCTAAAAAAATATATATATATATATGGAAGGAACTTAACAGAATAAAGGCCATATATAAAAACCCCATAGGTAATATAACAATGGAGAAAACCGAAAGCTTTCCCACTGAGATCTGGCACAAGCAAGGGTGCCATTCTTACCACTTATTTTCAGTGTAGGACAGGGAGTTCTAATGTAGTATCCATTTTTGTGTTGCTGTAAAGGAATACCTGAGGCTTGGTAATTTATAAAGAACAAAGGTTTAATTGACTCACAGTTCTGCAAGAAGCATGTCACGGACATCCACATGCTTTCTGTACAGGAAGCATGTCACCGACATCTGCTCAGCTTCTGGAGAGGCCTCAGGGAACTTTTACTCATGGCAGAAGGTGAAGCAAGCAAGCAGAGGCATGTCACATGGTGAACGAGATGGGGGGAGGTGCCACACCTTTTAAACAGCCAGATCTTGCTTGAACTCAGAGCAGTATCTCATTATTGAGAAACCTGCACCAAGGTATTCATGAAGGATCCACCCCCACAACCCAAACACCTCCCACTAAACCCTACCTCTAACACTGGGGATTACATTTCAATATGAGATTTGGAGAGGACAAACATCCAAACCATATCACCTAGCCAGAGCAATTAGACAAGAAAAATAAAGGTATCCAAATCAGAAAGGAGGAAGTAAAATTATCTCTGTTTGCAGGTGACATGATCATATATGTTGAAAACCCTAAAGACTCAACCAGAAACTTTTAAAAGTAATAATTGAATTTAGTAAAACTGCAAGACACAAAAACAATGTACAAAAGTCAATTGTGTTTCTGTACACAAGGAACTATCAAAGGAGATCAAGAAAATAATCGCATTAACAATAGCAAGAAGAAGAGTACTTAGGAATACACTGAAAATTGTAAAACATTGATGAAGGAAATTAAAGACACAGATAAATAAAAACATAGCCTGTGTTCATGGATTGAAAGAATTAATATTCTTAAAACATCCTTACTACC